TTATCTATGAAAACTCGACACAGCTATTACCCCTCATGATCCTTGATGACAAAATCTAATCTAATAACTCATCAGTTAGGTTGTTTATGAAGGTTAGTTGAAGTTGGGAATAATTTCACCCAAAAACCATTACATCAGTAGTTATAAACATCATGAATCAGTGATCAGATATATGGTCAACTAAAAATCCATAGAAAATAACTTCCAATGGATTTTTCTATAACAGATAAACTAATTATCAATGTTTCATGCTTATTGTTTAGACACCAATTATTACCAACGTTAACATAATTAACTGTCGTCCTACAGTTTTTTTCTATGTTTTTATATTCCACCCAGTCATGTACAACATAAAACCTGACACATATGGTGTCTGTTCAAGTTGCCACTCCACACTAGCCCAACGACATAAAATTATAACGATTAATCTCAGAGTAGAAGGAGTGGTAACATTCAATTTTGTAACCAATGGTCAAAGACTTTGGGTGATATGTCTCAGAATCGTTCACATTGGCGTGGAAAAGAAGGGTATATGATTTCAGGATTCAGGAACTAGGGTGAATGCTCCTCAACCATTTCGAACGGTTTTGAGCCATGTCTCTCAAAGTCTCTAATCATTGGTTAGTCGCCTGCACCTACCTACACGGTTCAGTTCAGCAGTCAACGACTTTATGGACTACAAGACAGCAAGAACAAAGATTTGAATAGAACAGCATGAATTCATTTCGTTTGGTTCTCGTTAGCTGTTTGCAACCAGTGATATTTAAAAATCATAGTTACAAAATGGATTTAATTTACCTACATGAAAGAGTTTAGTTGGAAGTTATTTGAAGACACATTATAATTCAGCAAGGGTGTAGATTAATTTAATAGACTTAAAATATTGTAGATATATACCTTATACAAGCAAACATTCTACAACATAGATAGTAACAAAGGTCCGAAGGACTAGAAAAAGTGCTTGCGTAACGAGTAAACGCTGATAGTAAGTAAAAATAAAATGAGTAAATCTCAGTTGACTAAAATAAGATTACTAATTCAGAAGACAGTCGGAATAAAAAGACAACGATGTAATTAATTGAAGGAAAATTGAACAAAATTTTCATGATGTAGTGAAGGGATATTTGTCATGAAGACTAAGAAAGATTTATATCTATCTCCTTTTGAACACATCAATCAGGTTTCTGACACCTGATAGCAACGGCTTTAAAAGACTGGAGTTAACTACTTATGAATCACTCCGAAGGTATCGGCCTGATGTCCTTTTACCAACAGACGTTTGGTAATTGAGCTGTTTAAAATATTTTTCTCTTATCCGAACGCTTTTCGGAACATATTAAAAAAATCTAAGATATGCTCTCTTTTCCTTTCGGCCATTGTAGCTGGTTTGGTAGGTATACGCAAATTTAAAAGCACAGTTGGCAGTAAAATGAAAAGCGTACTTGTCGACTTTTGATTTGGTCATTGAACATGTTATTCCATACAGTATCAATAGTTTGACTGCCGAGTACGTTTTGGCTAATGTAATGTTAAGCCTCCTAACCATTAAGCTTGCGGCATTATCACTTTTGAAGATGAAATTTATAGTATTGGTTTTTTATTGACTGTAGTCTTTTCCTTCTTGTTTTCCTTAGATTTTTTATATTTGGTATTTTTTCATGTTTATCAATTATTCTTCCAATTGTTCGGTGGTTCATATCTTTTCTACTCCATAAAACAGTAATTTGACAGACGCTTTCCAGTAACTGATCCTCAATGAAATTTTGTGGACTACTGTGACGTTTTGGTTTGCCTGCCCTTAGCTTTCCTCCAGCCTACTTTACACCAAACGACATCTGCAGTCATGATAGACAGTGATTGAGCTTAAGTAACACATTTCTTAATCACCACAGTTGATGAAAATTTGCTACCTCATCAGTCAATTTGCCATCGTTACCTGGTACTCTATGTCTAATCTTGGTAATGCTCACCGGGTAGTCCCAAAATACATGACCAGTGCTTTGAAGGCACCTGTGATTTAATACTAGTAACTTACAATTATCCACCATTCCTAATGCCCATTTTTGCACCCATAAAGTAGAACGGGGTGAACTGATGCTTAGTAAACTCATCCTTTGGTTGGTGTATACTCCACAAGTGACGCAAGTTTCCAAAAACCAACCGAGTTATCTGATTACACATATATTTTTAAAAATAGTGTATAAATTCACGTCTCGATAAAAGTACCAGGTCAGGTGGATTACGTTGATCTGTTAGTGATAAATCATGTACATTTTATTTAGATTATAACAGTATTATTGGTACTTTTATTCAGAATAAACAAATTATCAGTTTACTTCCAATTATGCTTGTATATTAGTCAAAAATGTTGACGTCCTGTGATTATAGCAGAATTGTGCTACTTAAATAATACTTCCAATTGGTAGTGATGCAGTGACACGCAAATCATACAATAATAAGGATTAAATAAGCCAGAATTCGGAACAGGCTGCATAGAATTATATTATGAAATAATCCCAGATTGGAACAAATAGAAATGAGACAGTTCAAGTCCAAAGCAATTGAAATGGTGAAACAGAAAGAAATATGAAACAACTATATAACACAACGAAGAAACTAGCAGGCCAATATAGTAGATCAGAGAGACGAGTCAAGGACAAAGAAAAAAAAAACAATCATTGAGATACTAAGACAGAGGAACAGATGGGTGTAACACTTCGAGCTAATCTTCAATAGACCAGCTCCACTGAATCCACCGGACATCGAAGCACCACACTTAGTCCTTCCTATCAATGTCACTCCACCAACGATCGATGAAATCACCATAACCGGCCAGCACACAAATCAGTAGTGGGAAAGCAGCAGCACAATCTGACAATATACAAGCTGAAGCACCAAAGTCACACATACAAGTAATTGAAAATATGCTCTACATCCTGTTCTGGAAGATTTGGCAGGATGAACAAGTACGAAGAGACAGGGATAAACAATACCTCATTAAGATAACAAAGAAGATAGTTGAACTCTAAATAGGAATAATATATTTGTAAAATCTCAGCGAATGAATTTGTAGTAAATCCAACGTTTCGCCTGGCAATCTGGTCCAAGCTTTTTCAAGGAATTATAATCAAACATCAAAATTATCAACATTTGGATTTACTACAAATTCATTCGTTGAAATTTTACAAATATATTATTCCTATTTAATGTCTTACATCAACTCGGCGCTCAAATACTGTGAAACTATTCACTTTAATTTAGACGAGAGTTCTTATACAGTTGAACTCTGTTGTCATTTTTTTTTAGAATTTTAATAGTATTCTTATTTAGACTATTGCACCAATAAAGGTTTTTAAAATAAACTTTTTAGTCTTTTATGTTTCAAATAGAACAAATATTTAATCAAGTATATTTATTTTTTCTCGTTCTGTACATTTCTAAGTATCCCTTTCTCAACATGAAAATTATAATCAGAAGTTACACTTTTTAAATATGTATAGATCAATGAAGTTTTCTAATAAAAATTGCTTTTTATATAGTGACCTACTTTTATGAAGAGAATACGATTAGTATAATGGAAACAAATGCTATGATAACCAATTGTACAAGTGATTGTTTTACTGTACCCTTTTGTTTAATTGTACCAATGATACACTTTCTTCCGTTGTCTATGACCTTTCACGAACTCGCATACGCTCGGTAGTTCCGCTCGTAAACTTTGGTACAGTCTCGGTATCCTTTCGATACTACGAGATTACCAACAAATATATCTTATTACAACTGTCAACTACCTTCTGGTTTTCGGCTTACGGAGTGATCCAACCTAATATCTGGCACGTAATCTTCCTGTAGTGGTGATCATAGTCAGTCGTAACTCGATGCTAAGTACATTTACAAATCCCAGTTTTCTTTCAATTTATATTTCTACTTACTGATATACCGTTTTTCTTTTATGAATATAACTCAAAGATTATAATAAACAATCTAATAATCCTTTGACTACTTGTAGCGAATTCCAAGTTGATAAGTTCAAGATGCTGGATACTTGATGAAAGAGGATAGTATTATTATTATTTGCCAATGAATATTTTCGGTATTTACTGAGAGAAGTCTTGATACTACAGAATCGGACGATGTGGATACCAAGCTCTTTCAGACATTCTACACGGAAGATGAACAAGGAGGGAAACGGTAACAGTCGATAGAAGAACTATATTTGACCATGGATAAATTACGATGGACGTGAGACTACCAAACTGGTTATTTACATGATGTGAGAAATGTCTCAAATGGAGCTATGGTGTTTGTATGAACTAACGATTCCTTTGTACTTGATGATTATCTGATTTCAAATTCCAAATACAATACGTTCTTTTGTGCTCACCTAGTTCTTCTTGGTCTAAATTGCTTTATCTGTGGGCTTCCTAGTTCGTGTAATAACTCCAAATACTTCTAATCATTACAGGACCATGATGCTTAGTTGAGGAGCTTGAGTCTGAAATGTTCACTATATTATTTACCGCGAAATGTGCTTGTTTTTTTTCAGTAATTCTTATCGATTTCCTTATCAGTGGCTTTGTAAAGATTTAGAAGATAATTCCTACCAATCGTCGACAATAGTAAAACTAACTAAAGTTATCAATAACATCTATTAAATTTCAACTAAATGGTTTAACAGTCCCATCCACACTGTGAAAATCTTCCTAGATTGATTTTTACTTTGTTAAATCGTAAGTCTCCTTGACAAGTTTTAAACTAGAATGAAATAATTAACCATCTAAATGGGTTAATATTCAAAATCTATAATTTTCTTTACCCCATTTTATGTTTCTTTTAATTTCATATAATTTAATCAAACAATTTTTTTAAAAAAATGTTAGAACACCCTTAATGTAATTAATATTTACACAATTATTGATTATTACTTTATTATACCAACTTAGTTGATAGTGTAAATAAAATTAGTTCATTGATTAATACAACTTTTTTTTTTCTTTTTTCGGTTTCGGTTAAAATAAACGTCATTATTATTTTATTTAAAAAAAACCCATCTTCATAAGGTATATAAAATATCAATATTTAAACATGAAAATCGATTAGTTTAGTAAGGAAAATGACTTATAACATAATTATGTGAATGTATATACATTTTCTATACGTGTATCTCAATTTATATAAAGTTGACTCATTTTATTAACGTGATGATAAGGATGATGATGATGATGATGATGATGATGATGATGATGATGATGATGATGATGATGATGATGATGATGATGATGATGATGATGATGATGATGATGATGATGATGATGATGATGATGATGATGATGATGATGATGATGATGATGATGATGATGATGATGATGATGATGATGATGATGATGATGATGATGATGATGATGATGATGATGATGATGATGATGATGATGATGATGATGATGATGATGATGATGATGATGATGATGATGATGATGATGATGATGATGATGATGATGATGATGATGATGATGATGATGATGATGATGATGATGATGATGATGATGATGATGATGATGATGATGATGATGATGATGATGATGATGATGATGATGATGATGATGATGATGATGATGATGATGATGATGATGATGATGATGATGATGATACTAATATTCATGTGAAAAAAATTCAACTTATCCACTTGTCTGTTCGTTCTTATTTGATTGTATTTATATTTTTAAAAAAGTTACTTCCTTAATGGATAAATATTTAGATCTATTAGCCTATTGATCATTGAAATATTCATTTTGTAGTCAACATGAACCTAGGTAGGGAAAACTAAGCGTATTTGAATACAAAATTACAGAACATTTCGATAAAATCTGAGAACTATACAATAAATAATTTATTTGCACAATGTCAATCAATTGTTTCAGACGTGATTATTCCTTCGTCTACACACCAATCATTCTCTGTTCTCGTTTTCTTTCTCTCTGATTTTCTCAAACTTATGCCGTCAGACATTTCACTTTCAAACAGTGTTACATATTGCATATATCTGTTGACATATGTAGCACACGCTCCAATATAATTTAAATTAGTAAATTCTAAAAATCGATAACAGATACAAGAAAAAATAATTCCTTTAACTCTTATGAAATTATTCCAGTGAGTAGATAACTAATATACTTTTTTGAAAAATGTATTAAATGCAATTTAACGTAAATAATAACTGAAGGTTATCAATCAGATGTAGGCATACAATTTAAAATGATGCATATTACACCTTAGCAATAGATCGAACATTTTCCATCTCATATTGAAAATGATACAATTATTATAAGTGGTTTATGTAGGTTTTTGAATTTTCAAAGTTTAAATAACGAAGCCCTGGCCAGTGGAGTTTGTAGTGTCGACTGCTATGTCAAGCCCATGGAACTTATTCTAACATCCAGGCAGGCCAGTTTATTCATTCGTCTTAAGTCACATTTTGACCTTGTCACTTATTCGCTTATCAGCCTTAACTTTTTATGTAAGCGTGTGTGTGTAAATTTCTTATGTTCCTCATCAAATGTCTGTAATTTCTTTTTCCCTGATTATAAATATTGAGTCACGCATGATTAAATCCAGTTGGTTTACATGCTTTTTCCACCGCGCGTCATCTAGTTTCGGTCTCCTCTCTTCGCTTCTCCGGCAGATATGAGCGAATGTGAAAACTACAGAGGCATCACAATACTGTCAGTACCATAAACAACTTTCAACAGAGTGTTGCTGAACCGCATGAGAAACTCAGTTGACACCCAACTCCGAAATCAACAGGCAAGATTACGTGAGGATCAGTTGTGCACAGACCGATTCGTGACACTACGAATCATCGTTGAACAATCCAGTGGATGGAATCGTCACTATACATCAACTTCCTTGACTAAGAGAAAGCATTCGACAGTGTGAATAGGAGAACATTATGGAACCCTCCTCGACACTATGGAGTGAATTACTGAGAAGATCGTCAATTTCATCTGGACGACGGACTACACTGCAAAGTGGTGCATGGAGGACAGTTGACAGACACATTGGAAGTGAGGACCGGAGTCAGATAAGGCAGACCACACATGCTACTTCTCTTTCTTCCAGTCGTTGACTGAACCATTGCGATCTGCACATTGGATCGGAAGCATGGGATACAATGCACAGATTGGATGCAACTAAGAGATTTGGACTTCACAGATAACCTGGATCTTCTATCCTATACACACGAACAAATGCAAGTCAAGACAAACAGTATAGAAGCAGTCTCTACAACAGTAGACATCAACATACACAAGGGAGAATCAACACCCTCAAATACTACACAGAGAACACCAACCCAATCACACTTGTTGGCGAAACTGTGGAAGAGGTGGAAACTTCCACTCACCTGATCAGCAGCATCATCGATGAACAAGGAGGGTGCGATGTGGATGTGAAGACAAGGATTGGTAAAGCAAGGACAGTATTCCTACAGTTGAACAACATATCGAACTCAAAACAACTGTCAACCAATATCAAAGTCACAATCTTCAATACGAATGTCGAGACAGTTAGTTCGATTGTACAGAGCTGGAACTTCGAGAACTAGTACAACCATCAGCAAAAATGTACACGTATTTACAAACAATTGTGTAAGTAAGATACTCGATGTCCGTTGTTGACTGGAAACCGTCAGCATCAACCTACTGTGAGAGGGAACAAACCAGGTTCGAGCTGAAGAGGAAATTAGGAAAAGACGTTGGAATTGGATAGGACATATATTACGGAAATTATCAGACTGCACCACGTGGCAAACACTAACTTGAAATGCTGAATGTAAACGGAAGGAGTGAGACCAAAGAACACAGTGTATCGTGATTTGTAAGGAGAAATGAATTGAATGAATAGCATTTGGAAACAGATGTAAGGATTTTCCCATGAACAGATTTGGATGGAGAATGCTTTTTTTCTGACTGATTCCTACTCCAATTAACATTACTCTTCATAAAACTAACTTCTTATTGCATCAGTCAATACTTAATCCATTGAGTTGAATTAACTGATGACGTCAGTAGTTTATTATCCATAATTGATATCAATGCGTAGTCAAATATTTTTAAGGTTGAATATGCTTCTTTTATCTATGAAAACTCGACACAGCTATTACCCCTCATGATCCTTGATGACAAAATCTAATCTAATAACTCATCAGTTAGGTTGTTTATGAAGGTTAGTTGAAGTTGGGAATAATTTCACCCAAAAACCATTACATCAGTAGTTATAAACATCATGAATCAGTGATCAGATATATGGTCAACTAAAAATCCATAGAAAATAACTTCCAATGGATTTTTCTATAACAGATAAACTAATTATCAATGTTTCATGCTTATTGTTTAGACACCAATTATTACCAACGTTAACATAATTAACTGTCGTCCTACAGTTTTTTTTCTATGTTTTTATATTCCACCCAGTCATGTACAACATAAAACCTGACACATATGGTGTCTGTTCAAGTTGCCACTCCACACTAGCCCAACGACATAAAATTATAACGATTAATCTCAGAGTAGAAGGAGTGGTAACATTCAATTTTGTAACCAATGGTCAAAGACTTTGGGTGATATGTCTCAGAATCGTTCACATTGGCGTGGAAAAGAAGGGTATATGATTTCAGGATTCAGGAACTAGGGTGAATGCTCCTCAACCATTTCGAACGGTTTTGAGCCATGTCTCTCAAAGTCTCTAATCATTGGTTAGTCGCCTGCACCTACCTACACGGTTCAGTTCAGCAGTCAACGACTTTATGGACTACAAGACAGCAAGAACAAAGATTTGAATAGAACAGCATGAATTCATTTCGTTTGGTTCTCGTTAGCTGTTTGCAACCAGTGATATTTAAAAATCATAGTTACAAAATGGATTTAATTTACCTACATGAAAGAGTTTAGTTGGAAGTTATTTGAAGACACATTATAATTCAGCAAGGGTGTAGATTAATTTAATAGACTTAAAATATTGTAGATATATACCTTATACAAGCAAACATTCTACAACATAGATAGTAACAAAGGTCCGAAGGACTAGAAAAAGTGCTTGCGTAACGAGTAAACGCTGATAGTAAGTAAAAATAAAATGAGTAAATCTCAGTTGATTAAAATAAGATTACTAATTCAGAAGACAGTCGGAATAAAAGGACAACGATGTAATTAATTGAAGGAAAATTGAACAAAATTTTCATGATGTAGTGAAGGGATATTTGTCATGAAGACTAAGAAAGATTTATATCTATCTCCTTTTGAACGCATCAATCAGGTTTCTGACACCTGATAGCAACGGCTTTAAAAAGACTGGAGTTAACTACTTATGAATCACTCCGAAGGTATCGGCCTGATGTCCTTTTACCAACAGACGTTTGGTAATTGAGCTGTTTAAAATATTTTTCTCTTATCCGAACGCTTTTCGGAACATATTAAAAAAATCTAAGATATGCTCTCTTTTCCTTTCGGCCATTGTAGCTGGTTTGGTAGGTATACGCAAATTTAAAAGCACAGTTGGCAGTAAAATGAAAAGCGTACTTGTCGACTTTTGATTTGGTCATTGAACATGTTATTCCATACAGTATCAATAGTTTGACTGCCGAGTACGTTTTGGCTAATGCAATGTTAAGCCTCCTAACCATTAAGCTTGCGGCATTATCACTTTTGAAGATGAAATTTATAGTATTGGTTTTTTATTGACTGTAGTCTTTTCCTTCTTGTTTTCCTTAGATTTTTTATATTTGGTATTTTTTCATGTTTATCAATTATTCTTCCAATTGTTCGGTGGTTCATATCTTTTCTACTCCATAAAACAGTAATTTGACAGACGCTTTCCAGTAACTGATCCTCAATGAAATTTTGTGGACTACTGTGACGTTTTGGTTTGCCTGCCCTTAGCTTTCCTCCAGCCTACTTTACACCAAACGACATCTGCAGTCATGATAGACAGTGATTGAGCTTAAGTAACACATTTCTTAATCACCACAGTTGATGAAAATTTGCTACCTCATCAGTCAATTTGCCATCGTTACCTGGTACTCTATGTCTAATCTTGGTAATGCTCACCGGGTAGTCCCAAAATACATGACCAGTGCTTTGAAGGCACCTGTGATTTAATACTAGTAACTTACAATTATCCACCATTCCTAATGCCCATTTTTGCACCCATAAAGTAGAACGGGGTGAACTGATGCTTAGTAAACTCATCCTTTGGTTGGTGTATACTCCACAAGTGACGCAAGTTTCCAAAAACCAACCGAGTTATCTGATTACACATATATTTTTAAAAATAGTGTATAAATTCACGTCTCGATAAAAGTACCAGGTCAGGTGGATTACGTTGATCTGTTAGTGATAAATCATGTACATTTTATTTAGATTATAACAGTATTATTGGTACTTTTATTCAGAATAAACAAATTATCAGTTTACTTCCAATTATGCTTGTATATTAGTCAAAAATGTTGACGTCCTGTGATTATAGCAGAATTGTGCTACTTAAATAATACTTCCAATTGGTAGTGATGCAGTGACACGCAAATCATACAATAATAAGGATTAAATAAGCCAGAATTCGGAACAGGCTGCATAGAATTATATTATGAAATAATCCCAGATTGGAACAAATAGAAATGAGACAGTTCAAGTCCAAAGCAATTGAAATGGTGAAACAGAAAGAAATATGAAACAACTATATAACACAACGAAGAAACTAGCAGGCCAATATAGTAGATCAGAGAGACGAGTCAAGGACAAAGAAGAAAAAACCATCACTGAGATACTAAGACAGAGGAACAGATGGGTGTAACACTTCGAGCTAATATTCAATAGACCAGCTCCACTGAATCCACCGGACATCAAAGCACCACACACAATCCTTCCTATCAATGTCACTCCACCAACGATCGATGAAATCACCATAACCGGCCAGCACACAAATCAGTAGTGGGAAAGCAGCAGCACAATCTGACAATATACAAGCTGAAGCACCAAAGTCACACATACAAGTAATTGAAAATATGCTCTACATCCTGTTCTGGAAGATTTGGCAGGATGAACAAGTACGAAGAGACAGGGATAAACAATACCTCATTAAGATAACAAAGAAGACAGATCTGAGCAAATGTGAAAACTACAGAGGCATCACAATACTGTCAGTACCATAAACAACTTTCAACAGAGTGTTGCTGAACCGCATGAGAAACTCAGTTGACACCCAACTCCGAAATCAACAGGCAAGATTACGTGAGGATCAGTCGTGCACAGACCGATTCGTGACACTACGAATCATCGTTGAACAATCCAGTGGATGAAATCGTCACTATACATCAACTTCCTTGACTAAGAGAAAGCATTCGACAGTGTGAATAGGAGAACATTATGGAACCCTCCTCGACACTATGGAGTGAATTACTGAGAAGATCGTCAATTTCATCTGGACGACGGACTACACTGCAAAGTGGTGCATGGAGGACAGTTGACAGACACATTGGAAGTGAGGACCGGAGTCAGATAAGGCAGACCACACATGCTACTTCTCTTTCTTCCAGTCGTTGACTGAACCATTGCGATCTGCACATTGGATCGGAAGCATGGGATACAATGCACAGATTGGATGCAACTAAGAGATTTGGACTTCACAGATAACCTGGATCTTCTATCCTATACACACGAACAAATGCAAGTCAAGACAAACAGTATAGAAGCAGTCTCTACAACAGTAGACATCAACATACACAAGGGAGAATCAACACCCTCAAATACTACACAGAGAACACCAACCCAATCACACTTGTTGGCGAAACTGTGGAAGAGGTGGAAACTTCCACTCACCTGATCAGCAGCATCATCGATGAACAAGGAGGGTGCGATGTGGATGTGAAGACAAGGATTGGTAAAGCAAGGACAGTATTCCTACAGTTGAACAACATATCGAACTCAAAACAACTGTCAACCAATATCAAAGTCACAATCTTCAATACGAATGTCGAGACAGTTAGTTCGATTGTACAGAGCTGGAACTTCGAGAACTAGTACAACCATCAGCAAAAATGTACACGTATTTACAAACAATTGTGTAAGTAAGATACTCGATGTCCGTTGTTGACTGGAAACCGTCAGCATCAACCTACTGTGAGAGGGAACAAACCAGGTTCGAGCTGAAGAGGAAATTAGGAAAAGACGTTGGAATTGGATAGGACATATATTACGGAAATTATCAGACTGCACCACGTGGCAAACACTAACTTGAAATGCTGAATGTAAACGGAAGGAGTGAGACCAAAGAACACAGTGTATCGTGATTTGTAAGGAGAAATGAATTGAATGAATAGCATTTGGAAACAGATGTAAGGATTTTCCCATGAACAGATTTGGATGGAGAATGCTTATGGGAAGCCTGTGGATTTTGATGGAGTGTGGCGTACGTTAGTTTATCAGGATCTCAGTCACCCAGATAAATATGATAGACTTTCCAGTGAATTTTCTTCTCTTTTGCCTGATGGTTGCTTGCGATGCTTTTTATATGCACATGGTTTCAGTCATGTGTACACGTCCTGCTACCACTTGTTACAGTTTTTAAAGAAACAAATCTGTCCAACAAGACGATGTTTCTTCAACTCCTTTTGAACTGTCATGTGATCGCACACAATTAATAACACATCTTAAGAATTTGTAAGAGCATGGCAAATAATACTCTTACGTGTGTAGAGACACAAAACGGCGTAAAAATATAATTAACTCATGTACATGTGTTTGGTGAACATGCATGACCGTAAAACCGATTTTATCAGAATGGTTTCTCTGACTTTTTTATGAAAGAATAAAGATGTGCAAAAATGAAGAAGCATATTAGCAACAATAAACAACTCATTGTTCTGGAATAAATATACATACATATGAGCATATTAAAAATAGCTTTTGTTTTCGTTTTTGAGACAGTACAAAGAAAAGTGCAGGGGAAATAAAGTTTTGTGTCATATCTTACGTGCAGGCATTCTGGAAACTGTACTCTCCTTTCAGAAGGCGTAGTTTTGAGTTTGTTGTGAGATACCATCGAAGTGTCATTGTGATTGTTGAATATCAGGTGATGTATCTTATTTGTGAGACCCATGTAATACAATTGTAACAAGGGAAAATCAATATGAGTAGGGTTTCTATGATAATTAGAAGTATTTGAATTGTAGTATAAACTAGTAATCCCAGGAATAACGCAATTTAATCAAGAAGTATCAGATGAGCCCGAACGAATGTATTGTATTTGGAATTCAAAATTACAACAGTCATCAATACAAAGAAGTCATTGATTTATTTAAACACCACAACCGCCACAGCTCGAATTGGAGTGTAAGTGTCTGTAATCGATTGTTCGTCTTCTTAAATTCATCTTACATCTGTCCGAAAGTGTATTGGATGTAGACTCTGTATTATCTAGAATGCACTCATTAGTATTAGAATTAACAACCAAAATTGGAACAGACTCACCTGGGTTCTGGAATTGTATACAATCAGCATGCCGGCTTTGTAGTGAAACCATTGATATTTAGAATTTGCATCATGGGTTTTCCAACAATATCCTCCCCCACGAAATAATGTTGGGTCCTTGTGTCGCAATGTTTTAGCCAATATGACATTTCCAATTTGCAGTATCTTCTCAAATCTCCCGCATCGACTACTGTATATCAGTATTTGGGAATAAACACTGATATATAATTCGAGGTATTCCATCATGTGACTTTGATTTCAATAAAAATCATGATACATATACTTTTTGTTATTCATATTAGAATACACAGATGGATATGCATTGATATATGTAATTAATACATGTGATTCAACTAGGCTTGATTTACCTGCGAAACAATCGAATAGAAAACATTCATCTGCCTCATATTCATTAGGATAATCTTGGATTTGATTTGGATTCTCTGTCTGTGCAAGCTTCACTTCTGGGCAAGCTGGTTCTCTGATTATTTCGGTAAATTTTGCTATCCCCTCTGATTCATCATATCACTGACTAGGGATTCTATTCAACTCTGGACTGTTATATAACGTTATACCTCTTCTAGATAAAGATAACTGATCATTAGAAGCATCCATCTTAGCATTACTTTCAGCGAAATGAACCATGGTATTATAAACTGACTGAATATGTCCAGTTATACCACATTTAAAGCATTTAGAATTACGAAATATACATGAATTACAGTGGTGAAACTTGCCGCAGAACATGCATTTACTAAACTTGTGCTCATCATCATGGACTGTTTCACAACTCAATGAAGTATTATCTGAATAAATTTGATTACGCGTCGAACTACGACGACTGTTTGAATAAGTGGAATTCCTGATGTTCTGACGAGTCATTTTATCGGATTTTCCTTTCTTACCGCATTCGGAATTTGTATACTTTAGATGATCCAACAGCAGTTGCTTGAGAGTTGCATAGGGGAATGAAATCGATTTGTCTGGAAGTGCCAAAATCTTTATAAGGCTGTATGCTTCTTTCCCGATGAATGTAAGGAAATGGGCCACAATATTAAAATCCTCATCATCTTCCTTGGTCATAGCCCAGATTTCGAACCTTTCCATGTACTCCTCAAAAGCATTAAAATCTGAATTTATATTTAACCGTTCCATCACAGGCTCAATCGCGACGCCAATATGATAATTAGAAGTATTTGAATTGTAGTATAAACTAGTAATCCCAGGAATAACGCAATTTAATCAAGAAGTATCAGATGAGCCCGAACGAATGTATTGTATTTGGAATTCAAAATTATAACAGTCATCAATACTAAGAAGTCATTGATTTATTTAAACACCACAGTTTCCTTATAAATAATCTGCTTTGATGCGGTCGATACCGATGCTATCGTTAGTTTCATCCTTATCGACTTGGGTTCGCACTGAAGAACTTTGAAGGGTCCTTTGTATGTTGATTCGAGGAGTTCTCGATGTGAGTCTCGACGTACGAAGGCATGTGTACTATACCGCAAGTCAGGATGAACTAAAACACCGATTGGTTGTGGTCTAGTGCTAACAGATTTGACTGAACACATTGCGTTTGTAAGCCTGCTCGTGTAGGAGTTTAGATCCATATTCATTGAAAAAGATGAATAGGTTCGAATACCTGGTAAGATGAGTCTAAGGACGTCAGACCACTGTGAAACATTTGCAGCTGATAGTGAAGCATTTAATTGTCGGTGAAAGCGTTCTACCAACCCGTTTACTTGTGGATGGTAGGCGTTCGTTCGGAAGCGAGCGATTTATAGTGGTGTGGCAAGACAACGGAAAACTCCGGATTCGAACTGGCGTGCACGGTCTGTAGTGATAGCTGAAGGGCAGCCAAAATTCGCAACCCATCGTTCGACGAAGGCGCGAGCTACTGTTTCATCAGCAATATTCTTGATAGGTACTGCTTCTGGCCATCGAGTGAGACGGTCTACGCAGGTTAAGAGATAACAGTATGCATTTGAACCTGGTAAAGACTCTTTTAAATGCAGATGAATATGCTCGAAACCAACATCGGGAGTTTTGAAAGAGATCAAGAGACATTTATTGAGTTTAATCGTATTAGATGTTTAGCAGCTTATACAAGAGCGTACAGGAGCTTGCCCACTCTCTCACGTCTTTATTCATAACAGGCCAGCTTGATTGTAGCTCGAGCACCTGGATAAGAAATCCTGTGCTACGTATTGAAGACGTTGCGTCGATGTTTCTCCACAATTGGACGATCTCTACCAGTGGATATTTCGCACAAAAAGGTTTCCCTACGTGTTCCTATCCGTTTGATTCGTGGTTTCAGGGATGTATATGGTAACTTGTGCTGAAGATCAGTGTCTTCTTTTAGACGCTCGATGAACTCAAAGACGTTGATTCCTTGGAAACATTTTAAGGAAGTTATATGAGACAAGGAGTCTGCAACTACATATTTTGTACCAGAAATGTACTGTATATCTGAAGCAAACTGCGATATGTGGTGTGCTTCAGAGTCCTGGTGTAAGATCAATGTTGCTTTGGGGGTGGAGAATACTTTCTCGAAATGTCGTACGAATTGACGAATTTCTCATTTTCACGAAGTTGGTCGGTCAAATGTCTCATAAGAGACATTCAATTCGGTATAAACCGTCTACAGAAACCTACTAGTCAGTTAAACGTACGTAGTTGCTTGACTGTAGTCGGATCTGGGTAATCCAGAATGGCCGCCACTTTGCTTTTTAGAGGTCGCGTGGCTTGAGCACCAATAGTATGTCCGAGAAAATCTAGAGAGTTGGTGTCAATTTGACATTTCTGAATGTTTACAGTAATGCCGTGCTTTTCTAGTCGTTCGAAGACAAGTGCATATGCTGGAGACGAGATTTCCTGTACGAGCTTACAATCAAGTATTCATCAACATGCGCGTGTACAAATTTTAAACCTCGAAAAACGTCACGAATGTCCAGATACGTAGTCGATATGCCGAATTTGTTTGGGACTCCTGTGCTGAATCGCATAGTTATAGGCACTCGGGGCAATATTCCGTCGTTGAACTATAGAAGTGGGACAATATGCTAAGGACTTTTCAAAGTGATGAATGATCTTCAAAACTCCATGACCTGTACTAACATTGAGTTTCTTTCCAAACAACTTTTTATGAGGTATTTTAACAAAGATATGCCTCAAGTATTTGGAGTTTGACAACACCTTAGATAGTAACACGTTCTATGACCGAAACGTGCCAACTCAATGAAAGCAGAAGTCCGAAGAAAAGAGGCTCGAAGATATATTTAATGGAATATGGAACTATTGAGAAGTGACTAATCTAGGCTGGTTAGCGGTTGTAGATGTGAAGCATGGCGTACCCACTCGTGAACAGTTAGGTGGGGCCATTAAAACTAATGCGGTCAGAATCAAATGTCGGAGACTTATAGAGTTATTGAATTTGGGGATTTATTTACCACTACAATAGTAGTCTATGGACTGGAGCTACCGCCGAGCAAGTCGCTACGGCCCTGACAGACGGATTTGAACGGTTATATTGAGAAAAGTGCAAATCGTCCGGGATATACGAAACTTATACTTACATGAAGAAGCCAGTAGTTTACAACGACTACCCTAGACGATGGATGTGGTAGGAGTTTCAGGGAGAGTTTAAGATGTGGTCAATTAACAGAACTGAAGATGAAAGCATTAAACACCCGCCAAAACCTTGTTTTAACTTTGACCAAGTTGAGATTGTGTTCGTCAGCTTAGAGATTAGCTTGGATCTGTAGGTAATTACTTCGGACACTAACTCAAGTATCGAAATTTTACTCGTAAATTACGAGCTGTCGGCTGAAATAAAATTTTCATGTGATATTCATAACGAAAATTTGGGAACAAAGCCAGAGTTTCCAGGTCCCCTTGGCAAAATGCAAGGTGACAAACCAAAGAAATATGTGTAGATCACCAACGTAGATGATCTGTGTCAAGTGATTGTGGGCCTACTCGAGTTAGACGGGAATGGTGTAACCAACCAGATAACCTTGAAGTCACACCTCTCGGTTAGTACTAACGTGGATTATCATTTTGTATTATCTACTTGCCATGGCTACTTTGGTCACCGTGTAACACAAACGACGTGATTATAGAAGTATATTGGCAAGAGTAGGTACAGAAAACAGAGTGCGACCACTGATGCATGGACCAGTCCGTTTAGTGCAATTAACTGATTGGCGTTGGTTTTCATTGGTCTTCACGAGGATCGGTGAACTGTTCGACATTCAATGCCCCGACTGCTGGGAGATTTGGCTAGGGCTAAGTGACATTGCACAAGCCCTACAGATGGAATCCTGTAATCAAGGTCAAAATTGTAAACAAATAAGTCCAAATGTCGAGTAAAATAAATGCGTCTAAAAACCGGAAAAAGCCGTGATATTCACAGTAGCGGTTTATGGTCAGTTAAATACGTTGAATTCGATACGAAGACATGTAAATTCTTTCCAAATAATGATCCTTATTGAAAGAAATTATCTGAGATGTTTGCAACATGTCTCAAGTGGACTACCGTTTTATGCCCCATTAATCATCACGCGATATGATTGTCAATAGAAACACCGACTGATTGACCACGCTGATGACGGATAAACCAGTATGAGTGGCCTAGAGTCAACTCTGGGTTCTTATTGGTCCTTCCTATGTAGTAGCTTCTCGCCTAACCCATCGAGATCAGTCCAGAACTCCATATAAGCCTTCGCTACACGAATCGTGTATTTCAGACATACTTCTTTTATATCCAAGCAAATCGGACCGCATCATACCACAAAATAGAAAATGAAAATCATACAAGATCAGCCCCAAAAGTAGGTTGTGATTGTGCAATTATGTAACTAACAGAACTGGAATGACTTGAGGATAGTAGGTTGTATACTGGTAGTCAATAGATCAAGTGAAGACCCTTATTTAGAGGAATATCAACATACACACAATATAGTTAATTATTAGTTATACAACAAGAATATATATGACAACAGCCCATAAAAAGATCCTAACTGTTGCCATTCACTCATTCTTCATCCGGACATAACATACCGTACCCGTTGAAAAGTCTAAAGGGAGTCTATGGTTGTCTACCCAACTTTAAAGTCCAGCTACATCTTTCTAAATCTGTAGCTTGTCAACCTGTGAGCTTAACATTATCAAAAAGCAATATCTCAGAAGCTACGGGTTGAGAAAACATTCGCATAAGATGGAAGGAGTGGAGTTCCTAGTATTAATCCAAAAGGGACGCTGTCATAGCATTCTGTGGTCCGGGAAAGTGAACAATCTACTCTAACTCTGTACAATTATTCATTTAGGTGTGACCTGTTTCAATTTACCAATGGAGACAAAAGACCTATCAGTTTGAGGTAGTTGACAGACTACGTGCGGCTGATCTTACTGAAACATCTCAAGAAATGAAGGTATATTACGTCTGCTTTTCTCTATCGTCAGAGGATTGTCACTAGTCTGTTATCGGCAGTCAGGAGTGGCTTCTGCAGAAGTGAGTCTTCTTCCCTCAGTACTGTGGGGATGAAATTCAGGCTTTCTAACTTTACTGTGAAGGACTGGTAGGCTACTTGTGCCCTAGACTTTGTATCTGGGTAGTAGGTGATAGATCTTTGATACAGAAGAGTATGACCCGCGTTAGACTGTTTCTTGAAACAGAAAAACAAAACAATCTAGTGACGGGAGTGACCGAGGAGTTAAATTTAGAGCAATATCCCTCAATATCTACCGAAGTAATGGTCGAGCCTTCTTTCGAAAGATTAGGCAGATGGTGCCATCAGTGAGGCCTACAGTTAAGGGTATTGCAAATTACACGTTTGTTTTATATAAAACAGTCCGTACGATTTTTTGTACGCGCTCTTCCGTTCTCTATCCTGTGTGTATATCCATCTAAATTTAGCTGAATGTTGGAACATGTTAGTAGCCTGTTAGAGTGCAGGGAATTATGAGGAGCGTATTAAATCATGGTCATTTACTTCCTAAACCTCCTTTACCTAAGCGTCTGTAAACTGAAAGCATCCTGTTGAACTAATTAAAATTTATTTTTTGATCGGAGTATCTTTTTGGTTGCTCATTTTGGATGCGTTCAACACAGTGATTTTCCCTTTCAAGATGAATGGACATAATTAAGTAGCTTTTGTGGATGGGTGTTGTGTAAACACTGAAAACAGTTTTGAATAACTCCATTATCAAAGAATCCAATATTCTGTAAAGAAGCCGTGTTCAGTTGAAATGTGTCCATTTTAGATACTGGAGCTTATAATGTATTTTAGCAGATAGAGTACTATAAACCTTCAAAAATACGAGGCGTTACTACATGTTGTCTGGCTTTTCCCTACTAATAATGAAAAGTTTACATTGTCTATTGAACCACTGTTCATTGTTTGACGCATTACTTTATATCAGTCGGACATATTATAAGCGCTGTAAGGTCGGCATTTTATGTTGGCTAGCATGCCGAAATACGATCGACAAGCCAATGGGTACAGAGTATTCGTTGGAGGTGTGGACCCTCGTGTTGGAAAAGTTGATATAGAACAAGAGTTTGAGCGTTTCGGCCCAATAGCAGATGTATGGGTTGCTCGGAATCCACCAGGGTTCGCATTCATAGTATTCAAGTATGCAGAAGACGCAGATCGAGCAGTTAGGCGAATGGATGGAAGGTAAAAATACTTACATATATTTAACTTGCCTGCAGTCGCCCTTTTGGGTCTCGTCTAAGGGTGGAACATGCGGTCAATAATAAAACTGCAAATAGGTAGGTCAAACAAATTGTTTCTAAAGTTTGATGGTTAGTAGTTAGTGAGTCTGTTTAAGGTTACTATTTTACTAGTCCTTGTGTTTATGTATTAATTTATAAGCGTCAGATTACCGAGGACTTTTCAACTTTAAAGAATAGATACATCAATTTCATCCATATTATTACAGTAGCTGACCCACCTTAACTCCAGGTATTCAGCCTGCTCATTGTTAGCCAGTGCGTAGATTGATTAATGTATCAGTATAATTTTACTCAGACTATGTCACCTCCGGGTCGACAGGTAAGTGGTTCAAAAGCTTAGTTATCGTTAACTTGTGAGATATAAAGATTAACTAAATTACTGCACTTCTTCTTGCATCCAAGACTGCCTCGTGGCAGATATCACAACTTCTCGTCAGAAGCCGCCCACGTCCACCACCTAGTACATCCATTAACTCCTGTTCCATCCACAAACTTTCAGCTCGGTCATCCAATCTACGCCTCCTCCGTCTGATCACAGATGTTCATCAGCTTGTGGCTAACCCAAATTCTCTCCGTTTACATCTTCGAATAATCTAACGCTTGCCTCCACGCTAAGCAGTTCATCGAAACATGCCAATAAGCCCGTGTTTTGTCACAGTAAGTTGCATAGCTAAGCGCACTTTAGGCTTTTACATAGACATGCCTGATTCACTATCGGGTATCCCTGTTTCTATTTAAAAAATAAATGTTTCAAGATATGGTAGCTACATGTTGGTCCCCTGGAGCAAATAGTTGAATTGGTATACCGATGAGCTCGTTCAGCAGTTTAGTCGAAGTTTCCTCCGTCGGACAATCGAAGAATCAGTGATATAAACAGTACCGTATTACAAGCTTAGTAAACCAATGAGTATTGGTACAGTCCCTAAAGTTTAGACTGATTTCAGTGGAAAGCCGTTACATCTCAGTTTGTAGTTTTCATTTAACCTATTCAATATTAGAAAGACTGATCTAATTCCGTTGTGAAAATAATACGCAAGGTTTTTCTCAATCATTTGAAGTCTTGTGTGGTATGTTTTTCATTCCCCTGCCTTTTATTCTTAGTCCTCAGAATCGTGATTTGTAGTTCACACCAATTCATTTTTATATAGCACGTAATTATTTACTAGGACCATTCATTTTATTCTAAATGAACTCCAAACATATGTGTAGCGCCTTTGCAACAATGCATTTTTTATTTGGCTAGGTTTTTTCATCAAATAAGCCATGTGAGTTTTTGGGAAGGTTTATAGGTACTCGCGTTCCTAGGCACTAGTGTGTAATCCTTTATCTATCGTTATGTCCGTCGTACCTCAAACACAAAAGCTCAAGGACTACTGTCAGAGTAGTGAGCAAAGAATTACTATCAATTTAGGTATGGTGACATCGCGACTACTAATTGTCCTTGTACTCATTACTGTACGTGGTCATTCATAGTTTGCCTGCGCTCATAAATCCATAGTTTGTCATGCTAGCCGACTCTTTTGCTTACTGAGGTTGTGAGTGTGGTTCCATATTTTTCAGCCGACGTCACGACCGTTCGCGTTCTCGCTCATATAGCAAGCGTCGGCGAGATTCGCCACCGCGCCGACGCACTCCTGTACGCCGCTCTTCGTCAGGACGACGAAGGTAAGTCCGTTTTACGCCTCACTTTCTACAGGTCTCCAAGTGATTTTCGAGACACAAGACGCCACTCACCACCCGGATATGAAAGAAATAGGTCAGGTCACGAAGACCGTTACCGTACAAGATCCCATTCTTCTAGCAAAAGATCCAGCAAACATAAAGCTTCACGACCTCGCTCTAGAACTCCGTCTCGACAATCTTCGCATCGCAACAGCAACCGACATTCTCGCTCTCAATCACGGAATTCTCACAAAAACAACGGACGTCACAGTCCTACTCCGGATCGTCGCTCGGTTTCGGATTATGATCGTTCTCATTCTCACACACCAGATGTTGAAAGAAGACATAGCTACGAAGGTTCAGGTAGTCCAGTTGACGACGGTCGCAATGCAAGTCCTGGTGATCTTGGTGCACGTAATCATAATTCCCGTTCTGTGTCACGTTCACGCTCCCGGTCACGACAAAGCAACCACCGCTTTAGATCTCGGTCGCCATCTGACTACCATGATGAGGGTGCCCAAAGAGAACATTCATCTGGCAGTCACACAGGTAAGATTCCAAGACTTGTTCTCAGTTTGGTGAAGTTCAAATGGTTTTTTATCTTTACACGTGGATCTAATCACCTAACTTGTAAGACATGTCGATTTTTGTTCAAATATAAAATGCATGTACTGAAAAGTTAATCATATATTTACATATATATGTCGCCTTAATTTGGAGCAAACATTTGCTTCATGGAATCACCGATTGTAGTCTTAATAAACCTACTTGGTACATTATTTTAGCTCTACAGAGAGGTCGCGGCTAAAAATTTAAATGTTTTTTTATTTGTATTCGCCGTAACATCCATCCATTAGCATAAAGACTTAGATTTTACATGTGAGCTACAACCCAGTGTGTCAGAAAGTTCAACAGTCAACCAACGATCAGTTAAAGCTAATATATCGCACAAATAGTCTTTCTACCATCTGGTAGTCAAGTCATTAATAAAAACAAAAACGGCCTATCAATTAATGTTATACTTCCGCACTTTTGTATTGTACTGAAACAAAGTTACTAATAAAAACTTTATTTCACTCGCATGCACTGGTTTCTGTTTGTTGTTGTTTTTATTATACGCACTTCACATTATCCATCTCTTCACAACCTCATTGTTATTGTGTCACGCATATGTATTTTGTGCCCCCTTGTACTAATGTTTATTTATTCAAATATTGAATTTTCATATATGCTCTTGCAAATGATCAGGAGCTATACATTTGGTTGTCTGTTTTGACTAGAAATCCTGGAGTAGCGATATTCAATATTGTAGGTTTGAATATATTTTGTAATTATGGTTTATTGTCATTATATAACTTCAAGTCCTTTTCTTTCCTTTCAGGTGATCAAAGTGGTTGAAAGGCCAAATATTGATGTGCTTAACATGTTCATATATATTATCCTATACATTTTTTAATACTGCATTTGAATGTCAATTCAGCGTGTTTTAATTATTTATGCGTATATGTACTGGTTGCCACTTAGTGTCATCAATACTCTAAGAAATGAGTTGTAGTTGAGGTCACATTTTACCTTTCTTCTGTAAAGATTGAATAAAGAGAACCAGCACTTTTTGGGGAATCTTTGAAAATATCCGAACTACATACGCTTCAGAAATTATATATATATATTAAAAGTTACTTTTGTCAGGTTTGCAAATACTAGTCAAATTCCGAAATGAATAAATGTTTGTGTACTTAGTAGTGATTAGAGTGATTTTCTGTTTGTGTATTCTTAAATTTTATTTAAAGGGACCTTTGTGTTGTTCTCGGAGCGTCATCGGACAGCGTGCATCGAGTGAGCATATCTGTCGTTTAATTATCAAATATTAAAGGGTTATTTACCTTCATCCTTGGCATCTTAAGATATGTGAATTATCTCCGTATTCTTAACTCTTCGAGTTAGTATTTAGAACTGCATAAAGGGCAAACAGCATCGTAGTGGGATTATATGTACCTTCAGAAGTTTTAAATAATTAGGTCCGAATGATAAGGGTACTTTGGTTAGTCGTAATGACCTCAGTATGTGGTGTAGCGATAAGCTTGTGACTAGTGCGTTAAATTTAGTGGGTTAAATTTATCTCAATGTGACTGCATCACGACTTGAGAATATTTTTAGTTCTCGTCACCAGCGGTTATATGTTACTGTAAAAAGCCTCATTTAGATTTATTGATCTAATTCATGTCTTGACACTGAATGGGTTGTTTCGTGCTTTCAAAAATCCCATAGTTATAAAAACGGCATCAAAGTAGAGTCAGACATTTTTTAACCATTGGATCCTCTTACAATAGATTGGTGTCGTTGACCGCCATGTACCTGTTGTCTAAAAAATCCTATTGGTCGATACGTCATCTAAAGAGGACCACCCCACTTATTTGCTTTATGCGTTCTGAACACCTGTTCACACATGCTTATCACGGCATTTCATATAAAAACTAACAAAGGACATAAGTGAAAGTGTAGGTAATAATTGTAAATAGGAGAGGGGATATTAACATGGTAAATAAAGAACAGGAAGTTGTCGCACTGCTATAGTCCATATTATCGGCTTGGAGATCATTAGGGTGGATTCAAGGCTACGACAAATTGTCTCTGTACTCATAAGGGTGGTTTAAACTTACTAAGGCCAGGCCGTTTGAGATGTATAGCTCAAATTCCCATTATCTAGACCATCTTCGTTTCCTCATGTTTGATGACAGTCCAAAATAGTTTTGTATAAGCTGTTTCCTACCGACACTAATTGACCAAGATACTGGACTACGTCGAGAAGAGTGCCCACTTGTATGACGTGCCGCAAAAAGGACTGTCCTTAAATTATATCCGGTTCGGTGACAAATTAATTTCGTTAGGGTCTAGTAATTTATCTCAGCCGCATGTGGTTTGTGTCGTGCAGCAGTCTTTAAGCAATGCTATCACAGCAACATTTCTAACTAGCACAGTTATCTGCCTCGCGATACGTTAAGAATGCTGAGAAGCAACGCATAAATGTGCCTTAATCGCGATAGGTTCACTCCAAATCGGTCGGGTGAGTGTCTAGTGATGTGAATAGTTTACAAAATGATCGGAAAGTGGAGCGGAACCGCTCATACGTAGCACTGTATCACTTGGAAGTGTTTATGCAACAAAGGTGGTGTGCTTTGGTTGTTATCATCAAAGAGTTCATGGGTGTATTTTATGTGTACCACCTCTCCCTGTAAGTTATTCGTCATAAAATTGATCCTATACATCTTAAGGATATGAGTCAGTTAATTTTCCTCAGTCCATATCTTCTTCGTTGGTTACATTATTTGTAACGTATCAAAGTTTGGCAGCATGCACCAAAGACCAGGTCAAATGACTTAACATGGGAAGTTTAGGTCCCAATATGAACGCTTAATGAATGAATAACTGAGGTAGTGCTCAACGTCGTACATAATTTTTTTAAATTTCAATCTATGAAGAGATTATCCAAACCAATAAGGTACCATTTTCAGGAAATCCACTATTATTTTGCAAACGTTATTTTGAAAGTCTGGTTTTGTAGCGCTCAGTTTCATATTTGTCCCTAGAAGTGATCATCTCTAATAGCATAACCATGACAATAAAGTATGGTGTTAGTTTACTCTTCAAGAGTCGGCAATTGTTTTCGTTTGGTTTGTAAATTGGGTCAATAACGGTTCGAATAACCCGTTTGTAACGATGCTGTCAGTATTATCAATCAAAGTGTTCTGTAGTCCCTAAGACCACAACAATTAGTCCAGATTTCTGCTACACATAGGTTGAGGGTGGTCAAAGTTGTTTTTGGTCGCTCTACATTTTTCTAAAATGAGAGTCTCAAGTTTGTTTTATGAGGATAAAGTCGTATTATAATCTGTGAAGTTATCCTAGAAACTGAAATAAAACCATATGCGGTCATTATCTTAACTTTAGAAATGGGAGCTTATCTCCATTCCATTTAATGTAGTTGTTATGATGTATGCCAATTCGTTATGATTTTATGTCTAGCCCTTATCACGTGAATTATCCACCAATCGAAATACGACTTTTCTAATATTAACAGTCTGTCAAATCAATGACGTTTGACTAGTATGAGTAGTCTAGCGCCCTTATTGGTCCCTCGTCCGCGTTTCCCTTCCAATTGATTCCAGAACGCCAGTTACGGCTTATGCTATGCGAATCATTTATTTCAAGCATAGTCGGTTTATATACCAGACAGACAGACCGCATCACACCATCAAATAGAAAATAATATTTGTACAAGATTAAGCCAAGTGTGGCTGTGAACGTGGGAGACAATAATCAATAAACTGAATATAATTTAGGGACATTAAATTGTATAATAATAATGATAATTTATAGATTAAAATGAAGCTTATAGTAAGATGAATATGTATAGATTAAATCTAATCACTGAATAGTTATACAATAAGAATATATATAGAATAATAGCCCATTAACAGATCTCGGAAGTTACCCGTACTTTCATTATCACTAGGATATAACAATAGTAAATATATATTTTGGTTACGTATCTTATTTTTTTTCTTAGATTTATGTACTTTAGCGGAATCCACTAAAACTATTTAGTTTGTTGTCATACATACATTATGTGATTCATTGTTTATGTTCAGCTCACTACTATTAATAAAAAACTTAAGAAATGTTTCTTTTTCTATATTCATGATATTCCAAACATACGTTTGGTACTAAAGAATGTAGAATAATTTATAATATTTCAGTTTAAATATTGAATTCCAATATTCAAATTATTTCGTAATAAACTGGCTATTTTTTTTGTAACAGTTGTATGTGCATGCTTATAAATAAATCTAATGAAAATTTGTCAGTAAAAAACGGATACCTTGTGGGTGGTTAATTAATTGAACTGAATTTCGATTCACAATTATTGTTTCAAATGTCAGTTCCTTTTTTTATTATGAGGCTGCATAACATTTATAAAGAATTTACTAAATACTTTTGTTTGACAAGTAATTTTTATGCACTGTTATACTATTTGTGGTGCCCATTGTACTTTAATATCTTTCTCATGTTGATCAATATCTCATTAAGGGAACATGTTCTAAACTCTACAACAACCTTTTTGTTCTAATTGTTTCAATATCTTAGCGATTCTGTTCTTTCTTACTTTAACTAATTTATTGAATATGTCAAATGTATTATGTACTGCCACAATTTTTACGAAAAGCCAATATAGCCTACCTTGATACTTATATACTGCAAAACTCAAATGGAACCAACAAAGTAATTGATATACTTTTTCTCTTTGTCAGTTCTTTAGGAAAATAAGAGATTACATTAGGATTCATGAATCATGTAGATAATGTGACAAATGGAATAGCAGAATTCTCCAAAATACTGTATATTTTTGCCCTGTGACTGAATAAGCAAGTAATAATTTTATGATAACCTTTTTTATATACCGAACTTGCCATTAAATGCCCGGGAATAACAGGTTAAACAATAAACCTTTTAGCTATAACAGTCTACCAAACTACAAAAATACTACTTCTAAGTTATCTATTTCCCTCAATAATTTCAATCAACAAATCGCCTTTGTAAATGTGAATAGTGCAACAACCCATATATATATATAGTTCAACTGTAGGAATACTGTCCTTGCTTTACCAATCCTTGTCTTCACATCTGCATCGCACCCTCCTTGTTCATCGATGATGCTGCTGATCAGGTGAGTGGAAGTTTCCACCTCTTCCACAGTTTCGCCAACAAGTGTGATTGGGTTGGTGTTCTCTGTGTAGTATTTGAGGGTGTTGATTCTCCCTTGTGTATGTTGATGTCTACTGTTGTAGAGACTGCTTCTATACTGTTTGTCTTGACTTGCATTTGTTCGTGTGTATAGGATAGAAGATCCAGGTTATCTGTGAAGTCCAAATCTCTTAGTTGCATCCAATCTGTGCATTGTATCCCATGCTTCCGATCCAATGTGCAGATCGCAATGGTTCAGTCAACGACTGGAAGAAAGAGAAGTAGCATGTGTGGTCTGCCTTATCTGACTCCGGTCCTCACTTCCAATGTGTCTGTCAACTGTCCTCCATGCACCACTTTGCAGTGTAGTCCGTCGTCCAGATGAAATTGACGATCTTCTCAGTAATTCACTCCATAGTGTCGAGGAGGGTTCCATAATGTTCTCCTATTCACACTGTCGAATGCTTTCTCTTAGTCAAGGAAGTTGATATATAGTGACGATTCCATCCACTGGATTGTTCAACGATGATTCGTAGTGTCACGAATCGGTCTGTGCACGACTGATCCTCACGTAATCTTGCCTGTTGATTTCGGAGTTGGGTGTCAACTGAGTTTCTCATGCGGTTCAGCAACACTCTGTTGAAAGTTGTTTATGGTACTGACAGTATTGTGATGCCTCTGTAGTTTTCACATTTGCTCAGATCTGTCTTCTTTGTTATCTTAATGAGGTA